TTTTTAATTATTGCTGTATTTATATATGTACATGAACACACACACACATATTCTTTTTTGGGGGGGTTGGTGGGGGATGTCCTTCTGAATGCTGCGAATATGCTTCTCTTATTGGTTGATGAATAAAGCTGTTTCGGCCAATGGATAGACAGGATGTAGCCAGGCAGGAAGTACAGGTGGAGCTACCGGACTAGGAGAGTGATGAGAGAGGAACATGTGGAGTGAGTCACCAGGATGTCACGTAGCTGCCCAGAAAGCAAAAGGCTGGGGCATCACCAGTAGCCAAGACCATGTGGAGATACACAGACTAATAGGTTTGGGTTAATAATTAGGAGAGAGCTAGCTAATAAGTAAGAAGCCTGGGCCATAGGTCAAACAGCTGATAATTAATAGAAGCCTCCGTGTGTTTATTTGGGACTAAACAGACTAAACAGCTGCAGGACTGAGTGGGACAGAAACTTCCGTCAACATTTGGTGTTTCAAGACAGGGTTTCTCTGTGTAGCTTTGAAGCCTGTCCTGGAACTTGCTCTGTAGACCAGGGTGGCCTCGAACTCAGAGATCCTCGGTCACCCAAGTGTTGTAGGTTTGTGCCACCAGTGCCAGATACATATACTTTCTTAAATACAATCTGCTTGGTCTGTATAATATTACTCGTGTGTGTGTTTTCAGGGCTAACCTAAAGCAGGCATTGGGTAACTGACTGGTGTGCTCTTCCCTAGGGAAGACTATGTCTCCCGCCCTCATAACTATGCCTGCCTGTAGCTCTTTGTGTAGGGTTGAGGCATTAAATTCTTGGAAGGCCTCCCCCCTTTGCCAGCATATCTATTATTATTGGGCTGTTCCGCTCATGGTTAGGAAGTCATATTAGTGAGACTTTATGAGCACATTGTGTCTTACTAGAAGACAATCTCATAGTAAACTTCCTCTGGTTATTACAAAAATCTTTCTGCCCCTCTTCAGCCATATTTTCTGAGCCCTAAGTATAGGAGCTGCTTTGCAGATGTATTTATCCATGGGGCTAGCCTCCACAACTCTGCACTTTGACTGGCTGTGGAATACTTGCTGTTGTAAAGAGATTTCTTTGACAAGGGGTGAGAACTACATTTATCTGTGAGTATAAGGACAGTTATTTGGAATGTAGCTAGAGATTTTGGTACTAAGCCAATCAGCACTGGTTTAGTAAAGTGGTAGATTTATGTTCTTCACTACCCTGGGTAGCTGGCTAGGTTTCCAGTATCAGGCATGATTTCCCTCTTGTTAAGTGGATCTTAAATTCAATTAGAGAGCTGTTGGGTTACTGCCAAGATACACATGCCACTATTGCATCCTTAGAGTTATTGTGCCCTTCTGGTCACTATTGTGGTTCGTAGGCATAATGGCTAGGTAGGTAGCTTTCTTCCTTTGAATCGCGTGGTGCCTTGTGGTATGATGAAGATAGTCCTTAGGCAGGGGGCTTTCAAGTGAGTTCCACTGCAGTGTCTGAGAGTGTGTGATGTCTTGAGTGACAGGGACTTAACCTTCCACCTCTAGATGGCAAACAAGGGCAATAGCAGTAGGCTGTACTATTTTAGGAGTCTCACGGACAACCTGACCAAAAATTCTAAAGAAGGCTTTTGATTCCTGGTGTTGAAATTTTTGTTAGGTGTTCATGGCTCTCAGAGGGAGTATTGTTGGCCCAAGTGAGAAAATTTCATTTAAACTATATGTGAATATTTATACACTTTAATGTATGTTACAGGCTTTTTGAGGTAGATCGTTAATAGTGTGAGTCCTACGACTTTTTCCAGACATCCTTACCTCTATTTTACCATCCCCCTCCCTAGTTAGAACCCCAGCAACACATTTTTTCCCATATTCCCCTCTCTATAGCTCCACTACCCAACCTCTACTCTAGCAATGGTCCCTTTTCATTCCTGGTTTCTGCAGTTACTCGAGTACATGTACTCACACTTGAACATCTGGAGCTAAGAGCCTCTGATGAGAAAATCATTTGTCCTAGGTCTGGGTCACCTCGCTCAATATGATCATTTCTAGTTCCATCCATTTATCAGCAAAGCTCAGGATTTCATTTTTTTTTTCCTTTATAACTGAATAGTACTCTAAGTATATACACCCCATTTTCATTATCCACTTGTCAACTGAAGGACATTTAGGTTGTTTTCATTTCCTAGCTATTGTGAACATAGCTGAACAACTATCTGTGTAGCGTGGTGTGCTCTGGGGCATATGCCAAGGAGTGGTGTGGCTGGGTCACGCGGTAGATTTTGTGTAGCTTTCTGGGAATTCACTGGGATCTCCACACATACTGCCACAATTTACAATTCCACCAACAGTGAATGAGGGTCCCTACACCACTGCCCCCATCCCCTCAGGCATCTGCTGTCAGGGCTCCACTGACTCTTGCACTTCTGACTGGTGTAAGATGAAAGCTAAGTTATTTTGATTGGCATTTCCCTAATTACTAGGGACAATGAATATTTTTTGAGACATTTCTTAGCCATTTTGTTTTTCTTCCTTTGAGAACTCCCTATACAAGTCCCAGGCCCACATTTCTTAATGGGTCATTTGTTTGTTGGTTTTTGATTCATTGTTTTATGGGGGTTTTGAGTTGTTTCTATATTCTGGGTATTAATCCTCTGTCAGATTTATAACTTACCAAAGATCTCTCTCATTCTGTAAGCTTCCTCCACCCAATTATTTTTTGTTGCTGTTGGGTTTTTGGGGGTTTTTTGTTTTTCTGTTTTGTTTGTTTGTTTGTTTGTTTGGTATATATAAGGCTTTTACTTTTGTGAAGTCCCAGTTGTCAGTTGCTGGCTTTAATTTTGGGGCAAATGGAGTCCTATTCAAAAATCCTTTTGTGCACCAATACCCTGCAGGAATGGCCTGTGTTTTCTTTTAGCAGTGCCAGTGTTTCAGGTTTCACACTGAGGTCTTTGATCCATTTGGAGTCAGTTTTTGTGCAGAGTGATAGATGTGGGTCATATTTCATCCTTCTGTTAGTGACATCCAGTTGTCCCAGCACCATTTAGTCAAGACGATTGCTTCTTATCTTTTGGTTTCTCAAGTCAGGGTTTCTCTGTGTAGCCCTGGCTGGCCTTGGATTCACAGAGATCCACCTGTCTATGCCTCCTGAGAGCATTAAAGGCGAGTGCCACCACCACCCAGCATAAGATGCTTTCCCGTTCACAGCTTATGATTTTGGAACCTTTATCAAATATTAAATGGCTAGCTAAGCGGACATGGCGCACGCCTTTAATCCCAGCACTCGGGAGGCAGAGGCAGGTGGATCTCTGTGAGTTCCAGGACAGCCTGGTCTTCAAAGAGAGTTCCAGGACAGGCTCCAAACCCCAAACCTACAGAGAAACTCTGTCTTGATAAACAAAAACAAAACAAAAGAACCCTCACTCTCTCCTTTTTCATACTAACCTAAAATTTAACAAAAAAGACCTAGCAAGATGATTCATCAGGTAAACCTGTTTTGCTGCCCAGCCTGACTGCTTTATCCTCCTTCCCTAGAAATTACATGATGGAGAGAAAATTAAGTCCCACAGACTGGCCTCTTCTATGCCCACGCTCACAGGGGAATCTTTTTTTTTTTTTAAATTAACAAAAAAGCCACATACATGGGAGGGGAGGAAAAAAAACATGGAAGAAAGTAAAATATCCAGTATGTCACAGAGTGTGAGTGGAACATCATGAGTGAGTGGACAGGCGGTGGTGGCGTGCATGGCTTTAATCCCAGCACCTGGGAGGCAGAGACAGGTGGATCTCTATGAGTTCATGGCCAACCTGGTCTACAGAGTGTGTTCCAGGAGAGCTAGGGCTACCCAGAGAAACCGTGTCTCATTTGCACCCTACCCTCCCCCCCAAAAAAAGAAAAGGAAAAAGGAAAGAAAGAAAACGCAGACAATAGATAGCTACAAACAATACTAGTGGAAAATAAATGTTTACAATCTGGCCTCTAGGGAAAAGATATTACAACAATCTGGAGAAAAAAAATTTCAATTTGCCCATCCCACCTTTATAAATAAAACATCCAACTGATTTTTAGTTTTAACTCTATATACTTAAAAAAGTTCATTAGCATCTATTTTTAGGGTTAGAAAGATAGCTTAGTAGCAAAAAGATATTTGTCCCAAAGACAGATCACGTGATGATTCCCCATGCTGTCCTCTAACCTCCACACATGAACCATGCTACTCACACCCCCAAATAAAATGTAATTTAAACAGTGTAAACTCCTAACATCAGCTTTATTTTTTTAAAGCAGGATCTTACTAGCCCCAAACTCACAGAGATCCACCTGCCTCTGCCTTCCAAGTACTAGAACTGAATGCATGCATTACCACCCCAGCAAGTAACACCATTCTTAATGTTGCAAAAGTAGAAATTTTCTAAGATCAGAACAAGACAAGAATGTAACCCCAGTCAACTCTTAACAGCACATAGGAAAAAATGAAGACAAGAATGAGAAATGAAAACTATACAGACTGAGAAAAATAAAACTATCTTTGCAGATGACAGGATTACCTATGGAGATAATTCTAATTCACATACACCCATCCTGGAAATATTAAGCTCTTAAACAGCCAAGTTGAAGGAAACGAGTGCCAACTGCCTGGGTATGTAACTTTACTTCTATAAAATGGTTCCAGAAAACTCAGGACACTAAAATGTAGATGCTACGGATCCCTCCCTGGCCTGGAACTCTTTATGCAGACGAGATTTGCCTGCATCTGCTTCCCAAGTGCTGGGATAAAAGGCGTGCCATCACACCCGGTTCTAATATTTTACTTTAATAAAATGAACAAAATTATATCTTTAAAAATCTGTTGCAATAGGCCAGGTGAGGTCAGCCTGATCTACAGAGCAAGTTCCAGGACAGCTAGGGCTGTTACAGAGAGAAACCATGCCTCAAAAAAAAAAAAAAAAAAAAAAAAAAAAAAAATTACAGTTTTTAAAAAAAACTATAGTAAAGTATAAATTTAGGAAGACTTACCTAGCAGGAGGAATGTCTCTCTTAGACAGATCAATTCTCAGCTTCTCCCCTACGTGTCTATAAATCTCCACTACAGCTGATATTGCAGCATTTCTCACCTGTCAAAGATTTCAAGACATTTTAATTTTAATAAAACTTAAGATGTGACACTTACTTCCTTTCAAGGTAACAAAAAAAAAAAAAAAAAACTACCAGGCCAACCTGACACTCTAAATTGGTTTTAATATCATTTCAGTCCCTGGAGAAATTATAATATTACATGTTATTAATGAAAACCCAAAACCATGTTTTGTCCAAAAACAAATAAAGCCCTACAGACCCCATTTAAAGAAGAGCAAAACCTTAGTGGTGGAGCACTTGCCCAGCGTGTGTGAGATCTTTAGGTTCAAGCCCTACTACCATCAAAAAAAAAAAAAGAAAAAAAAAGGAGGTAGGAGGTGGTTAATAGGAATCTGTGAATAAAAGCTACCAATTGGAATTTCAAAAAAATTTTATTAACCTAAAATACAGTTAATTAATGTTCCTAGAATAAAATTACTTTCAAAAATATATCCTGAACTCAAGTATTTTTACATCAATATTTGTAACATTATTCAAAAGAGTCAAAAGGAAGAAAAAAAACCAAAAATTCCTATTCCCATATGTATGTGTGTGTGTGTGTGCGCGCGTGTGTGTGTGTGTGTGTGTGTGTGTGTGTATTGTGATGTCTCTATTACTGGAAGATTAGTGTGTGTGTGTGTGTGTGTGTGTGTGTGTGTATTGTGATGTCTCTATTACTGGAAGATTATTCAACCTTAGAAAGAAAAGGGAAATTCTGACACATTTTGCAACATGGATAACTTGTGGGCATTATACAAATTGGGACTGATCAGAAAGGACAGCTATTGTCTGATTGCTTCCACTAGGTACCTGGAGTAGTCAAATTATGATGAAGAATGGTAGTTGCCAGCAGCTGGGGGAGAGGAATAGGAAGTTGTCTCATGGGTACAGAGTCTGAGTTCTGAGGAGGTAAAAGTTTTACAGGTAGATGGTGATATAGTTGCAAAACAATGTGAACGTATTTAATACCACTGAAGTGTACACTTAAAAACAGCTGCAATGGTAAATTTTATATTCTATATAAGAGGTGAAAAAAAGAATGGGGCTGAAGAGAACAATTTGAAAAACAACACTTATTTGTTTTGCACAACTCAATGTCAAACAGCAACCGAGAGCCAGGTGTGGGGGCACACACAGTCCTAGCTTCCTGGGAGACTAAAGTGGGGAAAATCGATTGAGTTCAAGAGCTTCAGGTCAGGCTAGGCAAGAAAAGAACCTTTGCCTATTAAAATAAAGCTGCAGTTGAAGAGAGTAAAACTGTACAAACCTGTTGAGGGACAACTAGAACTTTTAAGAAGGAAAAAAAAAAAAAATCTTATTCAGTGTCACTCCAAATGCCCTAGTTAGTTCACAGATAATGATATTACAACTGACTTTCAGGGGAGGATGAATCCTGACTACAGTACAGACAGCTCAGGTAAAGAGATGTACCATAGACACAAAGGACTTCCCTATTAAACAGGGCTATCAACAACTAAATAGTTCTGGTATAAGCATATTCAAGAATGTAGGCCGGTGACACTCTGGATAAGAAGGGAACACAGGATTCTCTTAGTCTGTCAACTCAAGAACCAACCATTAAATTCTTTCTATCCTTAATATCAGCCCAAGAACTGACAACTTAATGTTCGTTCCAAAATAAATAAGTAAACAAAGTCTGGTAGAAGAAGGGGAAGAAGAAGAAGAAAGGGGAAGAGGCCTGTAGTCCTAGCTACTTGAGAGGGTGGATCAGGAAGGTGGGGAGAGACCAGTGGATTCTGAGCAACACAGCCAGACCCCCCTCAGTTAATTAAAAAATAATCTTTCCACTATCTACCCTCTCAGCTTAAATAAAGTAAGAGCACAAGAAAGGACAACACCCGCCCCCATACACACAAACTCAATGCTTGAAGGTAAAAAATTTTTACCTGACTATTAGAATCTCCAAATAAGATACACAAATGTGGCACCAACTTGCTGATGACCAGTGGCTGAGCTCCAAAGCTAAATATAATTTGAAAAAGAGAGAGAGAGAGAGAGAGAATTTGGTTTCATTTAAATACTGAACAAAATATCCTGATGCTATCTTTCTGTTTGTTGGTTGGTTTTTGGTTTTTGAAACAGGATTTCTCTGTAGCCCTGGCTGTCCTGGAACTCACACTGTAGACCAGGCTGACCTCTAACTCAGAGATCCACCTGCCTCTGCCTCTCGAGTGATGGGATTAAAGGCTTGTGCCACCAACACCTGGCCTTTCTTTTTGTGTCTATCAGGACAACTTTGGTGAAGAACATAGACGTATATCATTATTAAAGAAAAACTAGTATCAAGCAAAGTGATGCTAAGCAACAAAAAGTGCCAACCCGCATAGGTGTGACTGATGCAGTCCTAGTCAGCAGAACTACCACTATGATGAAACAGATCGACCAAAAGCAAGTTAGGGAAGAAAGAGTTATTTCATTTACACATCTATCTCCAAAGGAAGTCAGGGCAGGAACCTGGAGGCAGGAGCTGATGCAGAGGCCATGGAGGATGCTGCTTATTGGCTTACTCATCATGGCCAATCAGTCTGCTTTCTATAGAGCCCAGGACCACCAGCCCAGGAACAGCATCACCTACAATGGGCTGAGCCTTTACCTATTAATCACTAACTAAGAAAAAGCCTTACAGCTGGATCTTATGGAGGGACTTCTCAATTGAGGCTCCATCGTTTCAAATGGCTATAGCTTGTGTCAAGTTGACACATGAACCCACAGGGCAAAATACTCAATAGCAATTTGACAACCCTGGCAGCCTACCAATTACTTAAGAAAATCTGAGCATGTACTTTTGAAATAGTATTTGTTTTTAATGACACTGGATCTTGATACACAGTGAAATAAAATAAGTAGCTTAAGAGAGCTTTATGTTTACTAATATTATGAAGTCTAGGTTGAATGCAAAGTGCTGACTGGAGGCCACAACCAGAACTTGCCAGCAAGAAGGACCCAGAGCAGTGAAAGAAGAGAGGTCACACCACAGGAAGAGTCCAAAGGGACCAGGCATTACCTATCACACTGCAGTCCGCAAAGCTGTTCTAGAATAACAACAAAAGCCTCCACTCACATTTCCCCCGCCTATGTCAGTCAAGGTGCCGCCAGTCCTGTCAGGGCTCTGCCAGCTGCTCCTAGCTGGGCCGTACAAAGCCCTGGCACAGTCCTGACAGGTCCACAACTCCAGCAGTCACTCACAGTGAGTGCTCTAGCCTAGAACTAACAGACACAAAGAATGTGGGGAAATAGCTTCAACATGTGACATGCCATTGAGTTTAAAAATTCTGTAGCAGATCGTAACAGAGAAAAGAGCCCAACTTATTAGCATAATCAATTCTTTAACCAATTCTGGTTGGCTAAAGAAAAAAGAGACAGCTTTAAAAATTAACATGTCAGATACTTTACATATACAAAAGTGGCACTAAAGATTATATTTTCGTTTAGGACACCAATTAATAACTACTTAAAATTCATTTTCAAAGAGGATGGGGTGGGGGTTGGGAGGGGGACAAGGAAAGAGGGGAGGGTGAGGGAACTGGGATTGACATGTAAAACAAGCTTGTTCCGATTTTAAATTAAAAATACTATAAAAAATAATAAAATGAAATTTATTTTCAGTATTCAGTTTGTGAAAACCCTTGAGTCTTGAGAAATGACTAAAAGAAAGAAAGCTGTTTCAGTAACCACGGAACTTACATGTTCAAGGTTTCAATCAGACACATGCACACACCCTCTCGAGATCGAAAGTTCTTGTGCTTGAAACCAGAGGCCAGATGCTCCCAGATGTACTATGGGGAGAACAAGTAGACACATACGATAAAGTCAGGTAATACATGTGACAAATGTACAATTAAGCCATCAGGTACCAGATGTGCTCCAAATTTAAAACATTTTTCAAATTTTGGAATTATTTACATGGTAAGAAATCTTGTTGCTAGGACACAAACCTAAACTTGAGACTCATTTGTGTTTCATACTCACTTTATATATATAACATGAGCAATATTTATATAATATTTTTAGTGCAGCTAAATTTTGACTATAGCCTGTCACAATCAGGTGTGGAATTTTCCACTCGTAATATGAATGTTATGTCAATGAACAAAAGATTTTGTGTTTTCAAATCAGGGATGCTCAACTCATATTTACAAGGTTTTTGTTTGTTTTTTGTGCGTTCCTACCCATTTAATATCTGAACCACCATTTTGTGTTTTTATTTACATGCTTTTCACTTTAAATATCAATAACTGTAAAGAAAAGCATGACCCATACGTAAGCATCTAAGCATTACTAAGAACACAGGTTTCTCGTATGCTAACAATGCTGCAATTATAAACACAGTGGTCTAGGAAGCACTCGATGGATGCAAAAGTCCCCAGCAACTACAACAGACTGTCACATGGAGTGACTTCAAACATCTTATAATTAAAGCTTTTCTCTTTTAAAATGGGACACAAATACAGAAACATTTGGGACAGGTCATTTTATGACTACCTAGTTGTTGTGGAATATTAATTTAAGATGTATTACGCTAATTTATGCTGTGGAACATTTAACGATGCAAAGATATGTTGTGTTCTTTTATGTTGCATTTGTTTGCCTGAAGCAGTGATGCTCTTGCTGTCCAAGACACCCGATTGGTCTAATAAAGAGCTGAACGACCAACAGCAAGGCAGGAGAAAGGATAGGTAGGGATGGTAGACAGAGAGAATAAATAGAAGGAGAAATCTGGGGGAAAGAGGTAGAGGAGCAGAGATGGAGAGGAGGAGGAGGACTCCAGGGGCAGCCACTCAGCTAAACAAGCCACAGAGCAAGAAGTAAAGGAAAGTATGCCAGAAAGATAAAAGCCCAGAGACAAAAGGTAGACAGGATAATTTAAGAAAAGCTGGCTAGAAACAAGCCAAACTGAGGCCAAGCATTTATAAATAAGACTGAGACTTCATTTGTGATGTATTTGGTAGCTGGGTGGTGAGCCCAGAAAAAAACAAAGAGTATTAAGAGCCAAACAGTGAAAACAACAACCAACTAAACCTAGTCTGCATAGTGTAGCAAGGACTTCAACTATACCCTTCTAAACATACAGTAAATTTCCTCCACCGTGTGTGTGTGTGTGTGTGTGTGTGTGTGTGTGTGTATACACACACTTATGTGAGAGGTATATGTCTGTGCAACTAGAGATATGAAGGCAGAGGACCACTTGTAGGAGTCAGGTCCCTCCTTCACCATGGATCCTGAAATCAGGTCACCAGCCTTGTGAATTTTAAAACTCTTAACTAAGGTTGGACAGAACATTTGCTACTGAGGTCCACAAGGCTCTAGGTTCTGTAGCTACCACCAGGGGGAAGGGGGAGTTGTATGTGTCTTAAAATAACCTGACTCAGCAACCCATCTCCGGAACTGTATTTTATAAAAAAAAGTTTACATCTACAGCACTCTCTGTAGTAAGAAAACAAAAAACAATTTAAAATGTAAATTAGCAAAGACTATCGACAAAATTTTTTTAAAAGGTATTGTTATGAAGTATAAAATCCCTTCTAATCAGTTTCCCTTTATAGTTCAGTACTCTTGCCTTACTAAACATATGAAACATAACAGTTTAGGCATCACATGATATCACCTTAAGCTACTCTCTCAATTGTGGTGTACGGTCAGCTTGTTTTTGCTCTCCTTTAAAGTATTTCTATGCTACGGTGTGGACGTAATCCCCCCGACACACACACCCCCAGGGTTTATGTGTCAGAGGCTTGGTCCTCAGCATGGCAGTGTTAAGATAGAAAAACCTGGGGGCTAGAGGGATGGTTTGGTGGTTAAGAGCAATGCCGCTCTTGCAGAGGACATGAGTTCAGTTCCCTGAACCCACTCAATGGGGCACAACTGCCTCTGTAACTCCAACTCTGATTTTTGCAGGTACTTGCATACATGTGGTGTGTGTGTGTGTGTGTATGCAAGTATGTGTATATGTATATGTGTATGTATGTGTATACACACACACACATAATAATTTTCTAATGAAAGAATTTTTAATAAACTTAGTAAATTGACAAAACACAAAAACAAAAAAACACGTGGCTTTTAGTTTCTCTTAAGCCTGCACACATCTCTGCCATCACAAGGCCACTTCCCATGAGTTGACGCACCTAGGTGGAACCCATAGCACCTCCAACGGCTATGTATAAAATACACCTTTTTTTTTTTTTTTTTGTTACAGGTATCTAGCTAGCCTCAGAGCAATACATTAGTAGTCTATGAGCACATATGCAAGTGCATGTGTGCTCACGCATGCGAGTGAACCTGAGCATGTGTACATGTGGAAGGCAGAGGGTAACCTCGAAAAGGAAAGAAAATAAAGGGAAAAAGAGAAGGCTTCTGGAGATCTGACTAAATTATCTTACAGCATGCCATGTACCCAGTGCAATCAATATATTCTTTAAGGACAAGTTATTTCTACTATATTAATAAAACACAAGTTGTCATAAAACATGCTTTCCATAATCAATAGCCACTTATGAAAATTAAAGAATTTCTTCTTGTTTGTGAGTTACAGAAATTAATATTCGGTAGTTTTCAAAATAAGATTTCTTTTTCAGTATCTTATAATTTGCTGATAAGAAAAACCAGAAAATGGTGAAGCTTACTAAGTACAACCAGCACCTGTCAAATCACTAAGTCTGTATGTTTTTTTTGTTGTTGTTGTTTTGTTTTTTGTTTGTTTGGATGTTTTTTGAGACAGAGTTTCTCTGTATTGCTTTGGAGGCTGTCCTGGAACTATCTCTGTAGATCAGGCTAGCCTCGAACTTAAAGAGATCCAGCTGCCTCTGCCTCCCAAGTGTTGGGACTAAAGGCGTGCGCCACCAACTACTGGCTTTTATGTGTTTTGTTTTGTTTTATATAAGTAACTGAAAAACAGAAAAGTTAAATTAAAAAAAAATAAAGAAAGAAACCTTAACACATATTGGCACTGCACCTTAAATGTAAAGTTCTTTAGAATATTACATTTAATAATGTAATTTTACATTACATTTAATAATCCACTATTTAAAATTCCCCCATCCATGCTTCCTGAAGGGTTATTATTTTGCTGTAGTTACCATCTCTCCGCTTAGAAACTTTTCATTCAAATGCAAGCCTACCATAGGTGGTGCCACCTCATCCATCAGCTTCAGGGTCAGGTTCTGAGCTTCATCTCGAACTTTCTCTTTGGCATCTCCCATCCTGTCTATTAAAGCTGTGGTAACTAATGGGGGAAGAATAAGTATTGACAACTTCATCACAAACCATATTTCACAAAACTACAATTAGCAACTTTTTCCATGAATAATTATCTAAAGAAATTATTCTAAGTTCATTAGTCATGAATTCAAATGAAAACAATGAACATATTTCAATACAGTATGTACAATCATATCCACTTAGGGCAGGGTTCAAAACCATACAAACAGTATTACTCAATTTGGAGGTCAAGATCCACAGACAAGCAAGCAAATGCTTTCCTCAAGGTCATGACAGGGAGACCTCTGGTAGAGTGAAAAGGTATCCTCAGGGAGTATAGACAGGTGTAGTCCAAAGACCTGGCAGACTTAAGTTTCTGAACCCAGGTATAGTCAAGGGTATGTTTTATAATTATTCTTTAAATTACAAGTTATTCAGTCTTCTTGTTGAACATATTTCACAACTGACAAACAGAAACAACACAGGCCTAAGTCTAGGTTTTAAGGGGGAAGCAGAAGAAATGAAGTAAGACAAAGGGATACACTTGTCCAGTTTACTTACAGAAGTTTGGGGGGGGAGGGGCTTCAGGCCGGGTATGGAAGCACAAGCTTTAATCCCAGAAATAATAATCTTCACAACAATATAATTAGACTACAATAGTATTTATTAGGTAGTAAAACCAGTATTTACTTTTAATTTAGGTAGTTAGGACTCTGTGTGTGTGTGTGTGTGTGTGTGTGTGTGTGTGTGTGTGTGTGTGTAAAACACAAAAAATAAAAGATCCAGAGACAGATGCTGGGGTTCAAGCTTCAAGCTGAAGATCAGAGAAGCAAAGCAGCCAAGTCAGTAGCTCTCACCTCTCCCCAGCAGATGTGTCAATCCTGTCTCCAGGGACTCTACCCAGCAGAGATGTCAACCCTGTCTCCAGGGACTCTACCCAGCAGAGATGTCAATCCTGTCTCCAGGGATTCTCCACGAATCCTCAGAGGCAAAACTCTCATTCCCAGTCTCCCCTGACTTTTATTCCTTTCTCTGCCCAGCCATATTACTCCTGTGCCCAGCTCTCTAGTGCTGGGATTAAAGGTGTGTGCTACCACTGCTCAGTTTCTATAGCTAACTAGTATGGCTGCTGGGATTAGAGTGTATCACAACTGCCTGACCGCTATAGCTCGTGGCGAGCTTTACTTTCTGTATCCTCACATAGGTTTCAATAAGTCATAAATCTCTCTGTGTGTGTGTGTGTATGTATGTATGTATGTATGCATGTGTATGTTGGCATCCATGTAACAGCAACAGGAAAAAAGATACTCTGTTCCTGAGAGATAGAATTTAACTACAAAAGAAAATTCAAATGCTGGACCAAACAGGGGCTCGTTTTAATACTGGACAGTATTTTAGTATGTAAAATTTGGTGGCATACACCTGTAATCTCAGTACTAGGGATTAGGGAGGTAGAGGCAGGAAGTTCAAGGTAGCCCAGGCTACATAGTGAGTTGAAGACAAGGCTGGGATCTATATATTAAGTCTCTGTCTCAAAATTAACACAAAATTTTAGAGCCATTTGTGCTGGCTCATGCCTATGACCCTCCACTTTGAAGACTGAGGCACACAGACAGCCATGGGAATCAAGGCCAGCCCAGGCAACATAGGAAGTTCCAGGACACACAGCAAAATCTTGCCTAATATAACAAAGCAAGACAAAAGTAATTTTATAGAAAATAATTTAAAATCTTTAATAACTGTAGTACATGTGCATAGTATTGTATTAAACAAAAAATGTTACTCCTTTTGTACAGAAAATTTTGGTTGGGTCTATGTATGTGTGAGCACCTGTGCCATGGCACACACAGGTGGGAAGACCAGAGGACAACTTCATGAGGTCTTTACATCTTTCCATGGGCTCTGCAGATCAAACTCGGGTCAACCATCTGGTGTGGCAAGTACCTTTACCTGCTGAATCACCTTGCTCGCCCTTAAATTCCTTTTTTGCACTTATTCTCTTGGAGACAACATTTTATTTAGTTCTACCTAGCTATTAATGATGGGAGACAGTAAATTTTCCTAAACCTCAGTTTTCTTGTTTTTCCCTCATGACATGAAATAAATAGAAAAAAAGAAAAAGAAAATAAGCATTTGAACTGTCAGCAATATATACTAAAGACCTATGGTGACACATTACGATTTATAATAGCTTGCTTGAGGATTCAGAAAGCAAAGTCAGCCACAGCCATAGAAGCCAGGCACACACCTTTAATCGTAGCAGCCAGAAGCTAGGAGGTGGTGGTACACACCTTTAATCCTAGGACTCAGGATTAAGAGGTAAATGATAGCTCTCTCTGAGCTCAAGGCCACTCAGGAATATACAAGATTGAATCAGTCTAAAAGACTAACAGATCACACACCTTTAATCCCAGCACTAGAGGGGCATAAAAGGTAGAAACAGGGTCTTCAGTATTCAGTAGGAGGCATTCATTCTCCAGCCACACTAAGGACAGGCAGTAGTCTGAGGCTTGGTAAGAGCTTGTGGAGACAGCATCAAACCATTCAGCCTGCCGTACAGGTAAGAAGCTAGTGGCAGACTGCTTTGCTTTCTTCAGCTTGAAGCTTGAAGCCCAATATCTGTGTCTGAGTCCTTTTATTTTTCGTATTGTATAGATGTGTTCATATATGACCTGTGAAACATCAGTACTACAGTAAGCACTGTCTTTACCAGGCACCTAGAAAGAGACTTCCACTCTGTAAGCTCAGAGAATTTAAACTAATGTGTCAATTTACCACAGACTGCACTGGGAGGTGACACACTGAAGACTCAGGGATAGTGTTAGTAGTTTTCATTCTACTGCATTGTAAAATATGAAATTACTCTACAAGACATAAAACTCAGTACTGAGGCTGCTGAAAACTCTGACACTCTCATCACACCACTTAGGGGTTAGACTAGCTGCTAAATTTTTATGCTACTTGGTCACCATAAAACCAGAGTTAGTGATCAGTATCAGGGTAGACAGATGACTTATTTAAGCATGGCCCTGAGTCCATACTCTCTTCAGAAGTCTAAGGCTCTAATGACTGAGCTATGTGCAAATCTCTTCTTGGAACTAGAGATAAAACAGAAGAGGACTCTTCATTTTTCAAGAACACATTTTAACTTTTAATGTACAGAGGATTGATGCACTTATCAATTCACAGAGATGCTGCAGTATGCACAGGCCTACACGGGTTCAAGTGAGATGGACAGCCACACTGACAAGGGAAAGTGGATAGGGTTCCCATCCTATGTGCAACTGGTACCAGCTGGCAAAGGAAAACTTGGGGGGTTCCTTGCAATGGACACTTACTGAGTATATTATGCACACTTAAGGGAAGACCCCATGCCCAGCAGTACATAGACAACGCAAAATGAATTTTTGTAGACTTTTTGTCTCATGTTGCTTTGTTTGGGCTTTTTTTTTTTTTTTTTTTTTAAATCTTACTGGTCTTCTGCTTCTCTATAATGTTTTCCGATTTTGTTTTTATGGGTTTTTGTATGTGTGTTTCTTATAGTTTTCTTTGGAATTTTTTGTTTGTTTGTTTTTATCTGCTTTGTTGTTTACTTCCTACAGAGGGAGAGAGAAATGTTGAGGAGTTGGGAAGCATCTGAGAGGAACAGGGAGGTTTAAAAACCATTAGACCATGATTCAATTAGATCTTTTCCTTTTAAAAAGAAACTTTTAAAACTTTTTTTAATATTTGCTTACTTATTTTCTGTTTGTGCAAGCGTGTGTACCATGTCATGTGCATGGAGATCAGAGGACAACTTGCCGGATTTAGTTCTCTCTACCACGTGGGCTCTGGGGATGGAACTCCGGTCATCAGGCTGATGACAAGCAATTTTACTTACTAAGTCATTGTATTAGCCCTGTACAGAGTTAGGTAGCCTGTTTAAGTCTGGTGAAAGGATTTAAAAAAGAAGGCAACTCTGAGGTAGTCCAGTTCTTGAAGAGTATGTAGACATGATGTCTACCCTCCAAGTCAGAAATGTGACGATTCCACAGACATAATCAATACTTTTAAAGGATGCTTCCAATACATGGGAGCAAATTAAGATCAAGTTTTCCCATCATACCACATGAGCTCACAAGTAATAACAAGTTCAAATCCCACAAAGGGTCTTCAAAGTGAAAGCAGTGCTGACTAACAGTAAATCTGCCAAAAAAACCAAAAGCAATAAATAGATAACAAATGAAAGTAAAACAATAAATAAAAAGCAAAGCAAAGTTCCATGAATCCAGACAAAAGGAAGGTGTAATACAACTTCAAACTATAATTACACACAAGAGAATATCAGGCACACTTTATCATCCAATTTCTCAAAGTCCACAAATATGGAACTTTATTTTTTTAAATTCCCATTTATGCACTCAAATGCAACCACAAGTATGTTTGCAAAGTGTGATTTCTAACACCTACTATCAATTTTAAGCAGAAGACAGACAATAAAAAAATTTCTCTTCAGTTGCTATTAATACTAAGGGTAGGAACTACCAAGTAGTAATTAAAAGTAAATACCAAGAAACCTATTTGAGAAAACAGAGAAGAAAAATAGGAAGACTGACACAATTTAGTGGCATACCAAAGATGGAAAAGTTGACCAAAGATATTGGAAAGTAAGTTTAATAATTGACACTGTGGGGCATTAACTTAAACCACAAAAGAAACCCACTAAATTCAAGGATGTATTTCTGTATGTCGCTATAAAATAGTACCAAACTCATTCATGAAGCATTGTAAAATGCACACAAATATCACACATGTTTTATCAAAGTCGACTATGTCATTATATCATGCAGAGCAGCAGCTTAAGAGTAGCACAATGTCCACGCAGCAAGCATATCATAACTGCTGCTCAGAGTAAAGCCAAAAACCATGACTAAAAAACAAAAAACACAGTATTTATGGAACCTTCCAGGGCAATCTAACCACAGTTGACGTATTCAACCTAACAATAAAAACTTATAGGACCAGAGTGAGGCTCGAGGTTAATGCTGTGTGCTTAGTGTGCAAGGCTCGGGCTCAGCACCTAACACAACAAAAGCAGGGCCTTGTATTTCTTTCATTGAGGTGTTACTATATTTTATAAGATATTTGTCTGGACAGACTTCTCCAAAGGTAGTGAAAAAAATAGCAGTGTAGCTGGTGTGGTGGTGCACGCCTTTAATCCCAGCACTTGGGAGGCAGAGGCAGTAGGAGCTCTTTGAGTGTGAGGCCAGCTTGTTTTCGTCGTGAGTTCCAGACCAAGGCCATATAGTGAGACCCTGTCTCAAAGTAATAAAGACAAAAGTAAAAAGGAACCCCACAGGATGAAAATTATATTACAAATTTTTTCATCTTACAAAAATTAGATATGGGGCTGGAGAGATGGCTCAGTGGTTAAAAGCACTGACTGCTCTTCCAGAGGACCTGGGTTTAAGTCCCAACACACACATGGTAGCTCACAATTGTCTGTTACTCCAAGATCTGACAACCTCACACAGACATACATGCAGGCAAAACACCAATGCAAATAAAATAAAAATTTTTACAATTATCTATTTAAGTATCAACTCTTTTTGAGTAAATTAAAATGCTAAAGTACCATAGTCTGGGCTGTACAAAATGGGATGTGTGGGCGTGTATGTATTTTTTTGAGACAGGGTTTCTCTGTGTAACCCTGGTTTTCCTGGAACTTGCTCTGTAGACCAGGCTGGCCTCAAACTCAGAGCTCCTACTGCCTGTCTCTGCCTCCTGAGTGCTGGAATTATAGGTGTGCACCACCACCACCCAGCTCAAAAATCATTATGTTTTAAAATGGACTTCAATGTGTCTGCATGTTACTATATACTGTATGTGTAAAGTTCCCTCAAAGTGCAGAAGAGGGCATCAGATCTCCTGGAGCTAGCATTATAAATGCTTGTGAACCACATGCTGTGAGCCAAGACTTGAACTCAAGCCAAGACTTGAGCCTTTAGAAGAACAAGAGCTTTAACGACTGAACATCACTGCAGACCCCAAGCTACATGTTTTCTAAATTTACAGTAACTAATTCTGTTTAACAAAAAACTCAAAGATTCATATAAGGTCCCTCACAGAAGGGGAAAGGGACAAGTTCTCCAGAGCACATGGGGGGGGGGTAGTGAGTGGAGAGAGAAGTAGGAGAAAGAGAAGGGGAGGAGAGAAAAGCACTTGGGACTAGGAAGATTGAGTCAGGGGAGGAATAGAAGAGAGAAGAGGAGAGGAGAGAGAGAAAGAGAGAGAGACCATAAAAGAGGTAACCATTATAGGATTAAAGAGAAAACTGAACCTAGAGAAATGTCCAGAGACCTACAAGACTGACTCCAACTAACAATTTGAGCAACAGTGGAAAGACTACCATAAATGCCCTTCCCTGTTAATGAGTTCAACAACTAACTTATCCACCATCATGGAGCCCTCATCTAGTAGCTGATGGAAACAGAAGCAAACATCCACAATTAAACACTGAGCCGACTGGAATCCAGATGCAGAGATGGAGGACAGGACCACGCTGCAGAAACACATAGAGACAGCTGACCTGAACAAGGAGGAGCTAACGGGCCCCCAGACTGATGGCTGGGAATCCAGCATGGGACTGACTCAGGCCCCCTGAACATGAGTCTCAGCCAAAAGGCCTGAGAGAAGTCTAAGGACCTCAGACAGTGGAACCAGGATGTATCCCTGGTGCACAAAAGGACCTTGTGGGCACATCCCTCATGGAGGGATACTCCCTTAACCTAGAGACAGGAGAGAAGTCCTAGTTCCTACTTCAAATGACTTCACAGATTTAGATGACCCTTCCTGCAGGCCATCACCCTACATGTGGAGTGGGGGGGGGGGGGGAGATGGGAGGGTGGCCAGGGTGCATGTGAGGGTGGGAAAAAGGGAAAGAGGGAGAGAGGGAGGGAGAGGGATCTGGGACCGATATGTAAAATAAAAATAAAAAAAGAAATTAATAAAAAACTCAAAAAGTCACTATATCAAACTCTACAATGATTCTTAAAGTGAACTTACCCATTGCTACATAAGATTTAAATCGTGTTGACAATCTATCCACAAAGGCACTTAAAATCTCCAATCCTAATAATGATACCTGTAAACAGAGATTTAATAAATACAAATTACTGATGCATATTGTAAAATCAGCATATAATTCTTAATACACAGCATATTAGTAAGATTTTAAAATGAAGTTTAGCGGAGTATGGTAGCATAGGTCCCTAATTCTACCTCTCGGAAGACAGAGGCAGGAGGATCTGAATTTAAGGTCAACCTGGTTCACACAGTGAGTTCCAAAATGGGAATAGAGGAAGACCCTGGCTCAAAATAGTAAAATTAATTATGAAAATTTTAGTGAGATTGACGCTTTCAGAAGCAGGCCTACATGGCAATGAGGATTCTACCCTCAAACACAACAACAGTAACAATTTGCAAATGTCTAGGAAAACAGTGGCGAAGCACATTTGGCAAAGATTTAGTAGCTGATAAATTAGGTAGTGGTTACACAGAAGTTTTGTGACTATACTAACTTTTCACTTTGCACTGTTACCTAAATAAAATAGTAACAAATCAATAATACCTTTGATTTAAATTAAAAACGAAAAAGAAAACTTATCAATACCCAGAGGCACAGGAGAGTTCATACCCACTCAAACTCCAGTTTGCAGCCACAAACAAGACTGCTCTGTAATTAAGACCCAAGGCTAGGCAGGAGATTGGAAGGCACTGCAGCGGTGGACAGCTTAGGGAAGAGCATGGTCTACAAGCAAAGGCATCAATGCTTCAGTGCCCCGACTTAACTTTAAGAACTGAGGGAAAAAGATCCAGAACACAGGTAAATAAACCATAGTGGAGGGAAGGAGAGAGACACAGAGCTCTCAAAATGAGACATAAACCATCCTTAACCCAAACTACCCAGGTGAGAGGGTGTCTCTGATAAGGGCAGAGATTTTCCAAAGATTGAATCTTGGCCAGAAAGATTAAGAAGCTGGCCCCACACCTCAGAGTCAGGATACCAATACAAAGATCACTGGGAAGATGGTTTCCCAGGAAATAGGGTAGGATTCAAGTAGAGTTGATCCGAAATACTAAAGAAAACCCCCTATCAAACCAGAAGCAAACAGCAACCAGTAACAACCACAGCAACTACAACACAGGGATCTAACTCAACTTCTAACTAAACTGATTAAATATAGCAGAAGAAGGTGCTACTTCAAAGATAAAAACTATTTAATTTAGTCTTAAACTTCTTGACTACACTATAACTTTTTCCATTAAGAAGTAGAGGAACAGGTAAGAAAAACAGATAGGAGGATTGGGACCCCAGTATCAAGAGCAGAGCCCTCAACAAACAAAATACAATGCACAAAGATGAAGCACAAGTTTAAACCAATGATTAGTGTGTTTGTAGTATAGGGTAAAGACCAGTCACAGAGCTTTAACTAGACTCTGAAAAAGCCTTGGCTCAGTTCCTAGCAGAGAGTAAGTGGAGTGTGACCACCAAAACCCTCATTCTAAAACAACAATGATTAAAGGGGCTCCAAATCCAGGTTAGTTGGTAAAGTGCTTGCCTAGCACGCATGAGGCCCTGAATTTAAATCTTTAATATCACATAAACTGGACATGGTAGAGAACAGCAATCACGGAGGCTATCCTCCACAGGGAGTTTTTTTTTTTAAAGATTTACAAAGCAAAAATACTCAGACAACATGAATAAATAATTATTTTCAGCACACAAGTGGAAATCTTGGGAAACATAAGCCATCCTGGTTCACTACCATGTTCCAGGACAGCCAAGGCTAAACAGTGAGACACTGAAGACAAAACAAAAAACAAACGATACAAATAACCCAAAACATATTCTATTTAAAAAATGGCAAACAGAGGGACCAGTAAACTGGCTCAGCAGGTAAAGCCCTTTGTAGTGCAAGCCCTGACTATGTGTGAGTTCACCCTCTGGGACCACATAAGGATGGAGAGATGCAACCTCACAAAGCTGTCCTCAGCCTCCACATGCACACCAAGGCATACACGTACTCCCCACCCCACTAGCAACCACCCCCTCTCTGAAACACGCGCGCGCGCACACACTCTCTCTCTCTCTCTCTCTCACATACACACACACACACACACACACACTCCTAGCTGGGTATCTACTACTATGATAAACACCATGACCAAAGCAACTTGGGAGGAAGAGTTAACGTCATCTCACAGTTCACCCTGTAAATCTTACAGTCCCTCATGAAGGCGAGTCCTGGCAGAAGCTCGAGGCAGGAACCTTTGGGTGTAGTGGTCCATCCCAGCACTTTGGAGGCAGAGGAAGCTGAATCTACATTTGAGGCTAGACTGCTCTACATACTAAGTTCCAGGACAGCCAGGGCAATATGGAGGGGGGAAAAAAGGGACCCTGAAGGCAAAGGTGATGGAGGAACGTTGCTTACTGGCTTGTTCCCCATGGCTCACTCAGCTTGGTTTTTATATAGCACAGGCACAGGATGTCCAGCACAGAAGTGGTGCCACCCACACCCACAGTGGGCTGGACCCTGCCAAGTCAATCACTAATCAAAAGAATGCCTCAGAGACTTGCCTATTGGCCAATCTCCTAAAGGCATTTTTTCAACTGAGACTCTAGCTTGTGCCAAGCTGACAAAAATAAACAAACAAAACACTAACACACATATTATCATCACCATGGTAACAGTAATACAAAAAAAACTTTTAAATAAATATTAAAATAAACAAAGGAAAGGGACCAGGGCTGTAGCTCGGTGAATAAAAGTCATGACTTAAACACACAAGTCCTTGCCTAAGATTCCCCAGCACTGCACAAAGCAGGCGCCATGGAACTCGAGAAGTAGATGCAGTGCAGGATGATCAAAAAGGAATTCAGGACCAGAAAAGAACAGGAAGGAAGGATGATAGGAAGGATGGATGAATTCAAGACCATCCCTACCTACAATAAGAGTTCAAGGCCACTCTGGACTGCACAAGATCATGTCTCAAAAATAAGTAAATAATCACTAAAAAGTACTCATACTCTAAGTAAACACTGAAATTAATGAATTTGACAAAGAGCCAAGATTAAAGGTTGCTATCAAGTCAACTGTGCTGGGAGTGATGGTGTACACCTCTAGTCCCAGAAGAGAGGCAGAGGCAAGTAGATCTTTATTAGTCTACATAGCAAGTTCCAGGACAGCCAGGACAAGGGCTGGGGAGATGGCTCAACAGCTATTTACAGCTGAGTTTGACAACCTGAGTTCAATCCCTGAAACCCACAAGGCCAAAGTAGAGAACCAACTCCTATGGGCCACCATAAAAGTCCAGGAATTTAAATTAAGCCAGTTAAAGAGGCTTTCCCCATCTATCTTCAATAGCATTGGCTCAGGTATGCAAGAGAGTTGTGTTAACGAATAATGCATTTTATCAAATGAAGACCATAAAACAAGAACGAAAAGGGAGACAAAAATTAAAAACTAAAAGAAGCCTGGTAGTGGTGCATGCCTTTAATCCCAGCATCCAGGAGGCATAGGCAGGCAGATCTCTGTGAGTTCAAGGCCAGCCGGGTCTACATAGCAAGATCCAGGACAGCCAGGGATACTTAGAAAGACTAGTCTCAAAAACAAAATAAAACTAGATTAAATGAGACAGAGAGAGAAACAGAAAGAAAGAAAGAAAGAGAGAGAGAGAGAGAGAGAGAGAGCACAGTTTTAATGAAGCCAAGTATGATGGTACACACCTGTGAGTGGAGGTAAGCGGTTACAAATTCAAGTCCAGCCTAAACAATAATGCTAGTACCTGTCTCTCTTTAAAAAAAAAAAAAAAAAAAAGTATTTTACAAGAGAGGTCTTAATAAAATGGGTGTCCTATGAGGTGTCAACATTAACTTTTCATGAGTATACAATGTACATAGGGAAGGCAGGGGTGTGTGTGTGTGGGTGGGGGGGGGGGCTCTTCCTGTTTTGCCTATGAAACTCTGGGCTGGCTAAGCAGCTAGCCAGGGATTCATTCACTTCATTCACCTGCCTCATCCTCCACCTCACAGTGTACTAGGACTGCAAACACGCCATCTGTCTTTATGTGGAGTACAGGGATTCAAACTGAGGTCTTCATAGTCTCAGGGAAGCTGTTTTCCCACTGAACCACTTCCCCAGCCCAACTAGTCAGATTCTCAGTTCAGGTACACTGAAGAAATAAAGTTTGCCAATAACTACCCGACTTTCAAAGTCTTAGTCACCAACAGCCACCACTCATCTGTAGTGGTCTGAATTGGAGTGACGGCATTCCAGAATTACACGTTCTGCTGCAGCCATGTGACTATTGTTGTATCTCATTGGTTAGTGGACTGGCATGTCCACAGGACCTGCATTCTCAGACTAAAGTGACATCAGATGGAAAATATTTGGGGGGAAAACAACCCAAGTCCGTGCTGAACAGCTACAAACTTTGTCCCTTTATCATTAATCCCTGAACAATACAATTTAACAAGTATTCCCACTGAATTAGCTGTGAGAAATAACTGAAAAAGTACACAGAAGGATTCTGCAGGCATATACACTATAAGGGCCTGAGCATCTGTGCATTTCAGTGTCCAAGGGAAGGAGAGCTCTGGAACCAATCCCTATTGACATGACGGCACATTTTCTCTCATTATAAATTATGTGTAGGAGTCCTTTACAGCATAGTTAGGGTAGTACAAGGGTTTTAAAGATTATATGCTTGATACCAAATGTTATTTCAGAATATAACATAATTTCAGATATAAAGAGATAATTAAAGGAGGACACTGAAGCCAGACACTGGCACAGCACACAGGAGCTTGAGGCAGATCTGAAAGACCCTGGGTTACACAATAAAGCTCTGAGAGAAAGACTAACCTTCACAGAGGCTCACTCGCCTACACAAATTCTCATGTATATCCCTAGAGTGGCAACATACAGTGTTAAAGGTTTAAAAAAAAAAACAACTAAAAACAACCTGGATGTTCATCCCACCCAGCAGGTAAGTAAGAACAGATAAAACCAGTAAGCAGTGATGAGAGGTAACCCTTGCCTTCTTTCTCTGAACCAAAACTAGTACACTTGGAACAGCAAAACAGCTCAGCAGGTAGAGGCACTTGCCACCAAGCTGACAGCCTGAGTCCAATGTCCAGAGCCCATGTGGTGGGAGCTCACTCCTACAAGTTGTCCTCTGACTGGCCCCACACTCAGTGAAACATAATAAAACTGGTATATTTTCAGAATGTGGTATTTAACAGGAAATATGACTTAGGTAATGCTGATATTATTGGGACTTATAGGAATGCCAAATGGGAACCAACAAGATGGTTTGGGGGCCACTAGGTACAATCACTTACAACCTGAGTTTGATCCCGAGGACCCACATGAGGAAAGGAGGGAACAGGCTCCCATAAGTTATTCTTTGGCCTACATGTGGACTGGGGCACAATTGTGTACCTAAACCACACATGTGAGTGCACACATGCATGCATAACACAAATAAATAAATAAACAAACAAATGGCAAATGGGCTGTGATCTTGGACTCCCAGAAATAAAATAATACTAACACATTCATTAGCCTAGCACTATGTATTGATACTGTAAATGCTAGTTATCATTTTCAGCCCACTTACTGTTATATGTTTCTAGACAGAATGTAAATGTTATTATTAATCCTGAGGAGGTACACAACAGAAAAAGAACATTCAAGTTCTCTCCTGCTAATTTATACCAGGGCTCTGACCTAAGTCAAGATACTTAGGTCATCTTTTCTACAAAAAGGGGAAAAGTAAGGATACAATCTTTCTAAAGCCATCCTAGAGAGTAAATGACGTCATGCAAATTAAGCACTTGGGACTCTTAAGGAGAACTTTTAAATGGTGATTTCCATTTTGACAATATTTAAGGGGGGAATTTTATTAACATAATATTGCTACAAAATCTGCAAATACCAGAGTATATACATCACATATATGCCCATTCCCATGATTGTTAAGTCCCTACTTATGACTTCTCCACCAGACTCAAGACCTTAACCACCTTCTTAACATTTTAACTTTGATATTAAACAATGTAGCCTAGTAAAAACCAAACTTCTCTCTTCCTTGACCCTCCTGGTCTCCATTTCAGCAGATAGCTTGTCTATCCTATTGCTCAAGAAGGAAAGATCCCAGCTGGGCAGTGGAGGCGCACTCCTTTACTCCCAGCACTTGGGAAGCAGAGGCAGACAGATCTCAGTGACTCTAAGGCCAGCCTGGTCTACAAAGTGAATTCCAGGACAGCCAGGACTGTTACAAAAAAAAAAAAAAAAAAAAAAAAAAAAAAAAATCAAGGGCTGGAGAGATGGCTCAGCGGTTAAGAGCAGTGGCTGCTTTGCCAGAGGTCTTGAGTTCAGTTCCTGGCAACCACATGGTGGCTCACAATCATCCATAATGAGATCTGGTCCCTCTTCTGGCTGCAGGCACACATGCAGGTAAAGAACACTGTATAGATAATAAATAAATCTTTTTTTAAAAAAATCAAAATAACAACAACAAAAAGAAGACAATATCCCTAATTCCTGTTTCTCTCAATCCTCACACCAATCCAAAACAAAGTCAGCAGGCTTTCATATTCCACACAACAAAAGTCCTACTGGACCTACCACAAATTACATCTCAAATGTTTAGCTGGGTGTGGTGGCGAATGCCTCTAGTCGCAAGAGGTAAAGGCAAATGGATCTCTGCTTAGTTTCAGAGGATTAGTCCATGAACATCGCCGTGAAAAACAGATAGGCATGGTGCTGAAGCTTACATCCTGACCCAAAAATTGAGGAACGGGAGACTAAGCTGGCAGGGGCTTTTGAGACCTCAAAGCCCACCCTCAGTGACACACCTTTTCCAAGTTGGCCACATCACCTAACCCTTCCTGAACAGTCCACCAACAGGGGATTCGAATCTATGAGCCTAAGGGGGCCATTCTCATCCAACCCACCACATCCTGTCTCCAAAAGAAAATTCAGTTTTCAGCACTGTCCCTGCTACCAAACCAGGCCTTACCACCTAGGGCTTTTTCTGTTATTCCTTTACTTTCCAAATAAAGGACTATCTCTCATATAAATCCTGTACCACATTTAAAATAAGATCACACAGCCTCAGTTCAAGGCCGGCCTAAGCAACAAGAAAACCTGTCTTCAAAAAAAAAAAAAAAAAAAAAAAAAAAAGAGCAGTGGTGGTGAATGCTTTTGATCCTAGTGCCTGGAGGCAGAGGCAGGCAGATCTCATTGAGTTTGAGGCCAGCCTGGTCTACAAAGTGAGATCCAGGACAGACAGGACTGCTACAGAGAGAAACCCTGTCTCAAAAAACAAAAACAAACAAACAAACAATACAAAACCTGAATCCTGTACATCTGTAAATCCACTTGGCACTTAAGTTAAAAGCACTGGCTACTCTTCCAAAGGACCTAGATTCTTTTCCCGGCGGTTTACAACCTTCCATTTACAACTCCAGCTCCAAGGAGTTCAAACAGCCTCTTCCGGCCTCTGTGGGAACCAGCCATGCATGCAAAACACCTACACACATAAATAATAAGGTAAAAAATAATTTTTAAAAAATTAAGACTAAACCAGGAGTGGTGATATATATGTTTGTTTCCAGCATGGGAGGGGACAGGACAGGCACAGGCAGGTCTCTGTGGTTCTGAGAACATAGTGAGTTCCAGGCTAGCCAGGACCTCATAGTGAGAAGTGAGATCTTGTGTCAATAAATAAATTTTAAAACAAAAAACAAAACCAGGCTCATCACAATAGAATGCACTCTTTTTAACAATATTAGAAAAAAAATTATATTTAAAAAAAATTAAATACTGAGGACTAGTAATTCCTGAAGGAGAGAAAATTGAGTGATCAATGCCTGTGAGTAGAGAAGGCAGGGCATCTAACACCAGCGCCGAGGAGCCACTGGCACAAGTAAGGAAGACAGCAAATGCATTCACACCAGAAAAGAAAGTGGTGAGGGGCGTGCTTCCAGAAAGTGTTAGACAGCGCAGGAAGAGCCTGTGGCCCTGCCAGCTGATCAAACAGTCTCAGGCCACATATCTTGTGAGGAACATGGAGAGAATGTGTGAACCTCAGGCACTTCCCTTAAGGATCCTAACCAGTTAACTGGAAGCTCAGAGACATGACAGAAAACTTGGAGTCCTGTGGTATCACAAGCGCCACTTGCTGACAAATATCTGAAGGTTGCAATGGCTTGAAGGCTTTCAGTATCGAGAGGGCCGCACATGAGTTTTCACTGCAGGAGGAGAGCAAACATTACTAAACAATGGGCTGACTTCCCACAACACCCAAAGCTGCAACATACCATAAAGCAGCTGAGCTGAGTGCATACGCCTTCCTTACACAGTAGGGTATCTAGTTTATGCCTTCAAAAGAAACTAATACTCAACAATTAGTAACCTTATTTTAGTAAAGATTAACTTTCCCCAAATCTTTTTGGGTGGTTTTTTTTTTTTTTTTTTTTTTTTTTTTTTTGAGACAGGGTCTCATTATATAGTCCAATTTATATATAGCCCAAACTCACTATCGAGCTCAGTCAGACTGACCTTGATGGGGGAGGGAGCCTCCTCCCTTGGCCTTCCAAGTGCTACTTTACCATTGCAAACTTAAAAACATAAGAAGAATGAAGAGAAAATATGTAATGGAACACTGAGGTGATGAATTCTAAAACTCCATCACTGTGAAGGGAAACATTTTCTTCAGTGATGTAGCTACTAGTAAGATGCCCATGCTCCTGTACAGAACTCCTCCTCACTAATGCCCCTTTAAGTAACCCTAACTGAGCTCACTGATCCATGTAATTAAAAGAAGGGAACAATATGAAAATAGCGAAAGTGGAAAAATAAGAGTAACAGGTGGTGAATGCAAAGAAAAGTACATTATACACATGTATAAAAATGTGACCATGAAACCCACTATGTATAATTGATATTACATAAAGTAAGACTTTATTCTAAATCTTGTTAACGTCTAACCTCCCTATAATTCATAGAGTCCCCACCATTAAATCTGCGGAATTGTAGTTTGTTTTCTTGTCCCGATAGATAAAAATTCCAACGTACAGCCTATTCACTGGATATATTGCTAAAAGTCGCTCCATCCAGGGGAAGTTCCAGCCTGCATTTTAAAGCAATACTGCCACCAGAAGACTAAAAGGAAAAGTTACTGCTAACAACTCCGGAACCGACTAATTACTGAATATTTACTTCTCTCCATTCGTGGCGATATTACAACCTGCCTGCTCCGGACGAAACACCCATTCCTTCTTGTACCTCATCCCACTCCCGATTTGTTTGCAGCATCAACTAAACCTGATAGCCCACGCTTTCAAATCTGAGTCCGTCCCCAACTGCGGCAAGGCAAGAGGGCAATGAGCGTCCAACGGCTTTCCGCTGCCAATTAAGAGAAAAGCAAATAAATAATGCCACGACGGGAGCAGTCCTTTCGTGCGAAGGTCCTGAATACGCGCTAAAGATACTTTTGAGAGACGATCACAACCTTCACATAAAGACTATATGAAAGAAAAAGGAGGGAGGAAAGCAGAGTAGAAGAGAGTAAGGGAGAGGGACGGAAAACAGGGAAAGAAAGAGGGAGGGAAGGGAGGGGGAGAAAGAGGGACTGGTTGAGGGAGAAGGGGTGAGAAAAGAAACTGGAGATTAAGCAAAACAGAAATCAATCGGAAGTGAAGAACTTGACCGTCCAACTCCACGCCGCTTCCTAACGCCCTGCCTCGGCGCAGGCGTCTACAAAACCGTACAAAGCCTTCAAGCCCGTGGCTGCGAGCGATCCCTTCCTTTGTCAAGCGCCCAAGCAGCTCCGCAACGCGTCGCGGACCCGCCGCCTGCGGGCCGTCCCCCAACCCCGGGGGCGACGCCCCCGCCCCGGCCGCGCGCCCGACCGCCCCGCCGCTCACCCGGTAGTTGCTCGAGCCCACCCAGCCGGTGAGCGCGTCCACGGTCTTGGCCAGGCGGCTCGGGTCGTCCTCCAGGTCCGGGATGGCGCCGGGCGCGCCGAGGTTGAGCAGCAGCTCCTCGCCCGCCTGCAGCCGGCCGCTCACGTCCTTCTGCAGCACTTGGGCGCTGAAGTACTCGGCGCCGCGGGGCTCCATGGCCGCGCCCGCCGCCCCTCGGCCGCCAACTTTCCTCGCGGCACCGCCCAGCCGCGGCGGCGGCCCCCCCCCCCCCGCCGACACGCGCTCGCCGCTCGGAGACGCCGCTGCCCGGGGCCACGGCGGCCGGCGGGGTACGGCCCACCCCCAAAACTACTCAAACTCGGCGCCCCCCGCGCTCAGCCCCGCTTCAGAGGCTGCGGCCGCCGGCGACGTCAGCGCGCGCGTGACGTCAGAGCCGCGCGCCCGCCGGCCGGGGCCTCGCGGCGCGCCCGGGCCGGGCGGAGGCCGAGTGAGGCCCGAGGCCGCTGCTCGGGGCCGGTGGGATCGGCTCTGTCTACTCGCGCGGACGCTCCCTGAAAGCCCCCGTGGGGATCCCGGAAGCTCCGGCGATTCCCTCCGCTGCCGCCATCACCGGCGCTGAAGGAAAAGTCTCTGGGACTTGTTCCCGCCCCGCCCCTGCCGTCTTTTTAAACCGGAATACATGATTCACGTTCTCCCTCGGCAAAGACCTGGCTGACCCTGCCTGCAGCCACCCACGCAGTCGCTGGAGAAGGCTTTCTGTGTCTAGTCGGTAGCGAGGTTTTGCAAATGGATTCGCAGTTCTTGTTAACACTTTTTTCCCGTCCCGCCCCAACTCCACGGAAGTTCTCAGACCGCTATAGCCGACTAACCACATCTGCAGCCCTAGGCGGTTCCAATTTGATTTTTGCCTTTGTTGGGGTTCAATATTGTTACTTTTTCTTTTGGGGCAGGGGCTCGTATCTTACGAGCCGGCCTAGAACGTGACCTGTAGTAGGGGATGACCTTAAATTTCTGGTCCTACCCCTACAGCCAAGTGCTGGGAATAGAAGCCTGAGCCACAGAACTCGAGTTTTGTTTTGGGGTGACTGGGGCTGTTATTGATAAGATTTGTTTTTTATGTTATGTGTACATGCGTGCAGCTGAGTGTATGTATGGGCACCATGTGCACACATGTGTCTGATTCCAGAGGTCAAAAGAGGAAGTCAGGTCTGGAACTGGAGTTACAGGCAATTGTGAGCCACCTGACATACTGGGAACTGAACCTGGGTCCTCTAGCAAGAGCAGCAAGCCCTCTTAACAGCACAATGTTGTTAAGAATAGGGCTGGTCGTGAAGCTCAGACCAGGCTGGAACTCCTGACCCATTCTAATTTTATTTCTAACATGATAGGATAGGTTTCCCACTTGTAAGTTATGTAACTTCACGATGTTCCTTTTCCTTTCCTTCCCCTCCCCTTTTCCTTTGATTCTGACAAAATTTAAACTATATTCTTTGAGTCTGACTTCTTTCTCGTAGCAAAATGTTGGCATTTCATTCCATACAGTGTGTATCTTATAAGTTTCTTTTTATGACTTAGTCATTTTGCATTGCACTGTGGCTTGTTGAGCCTTTCATTCATCTAGCAATAAGCATCTGGGTTGTTTGCAGTTTTTCATAATTATTGGTATGTGCACATCCATTGTGGGTGCTGGGAACCAAACTCAGGTCCTCTGCAAGACCAGAACTTTTAACCTCTGAGCCATTTCTCCGCCCTGCTATGAGATAAACATTTTTAGGACTCGGGTGTAGTTCAGTTGACATATTGTTTGTCTAGCATGCACACATCTCTGATTTTGACCCTTGCATTGCACATAAAGCCAGGTATAGAGACACGGACCTGTGATCACAGCATACAGGAGTAGTTACAAAGAATGGGGAGTTTATTCATTCTTCACTGTGTAATGACTTTGAACCTCCCACCCCCAGCTACATGCAACTCTGTTTTTTAAAAAATACATAAGTCTTGAAGGGACTGGAGAAATTGCTCAGTGGTTAAGAACGCTTGCTCTTGCAGAGGACCCAGGATTGAATCCCAGCACTTAAATGCATCCCACAATTGTCTGCAACTCCATTTCTAGGGGATCTAGCACCCTATTTTAGTCATGCTGGGCACTAGGCATACATGTAGTGCATATACAGATATGCAGGAAAAACAGTCATACACAAAAAATAAATATTTAAAAAACAAACAAAGGTATGTGGGGCAGTGATAGCTCACACCTTTCATCTCCCATCACTCAGGAGGCAGAGGCAGGTGATCTCTGTGAGTTCAAGGCCAGCCTGGTCTACAGAACGAGTTCCAGGACACAGTGAAACCCTGTTTTAGGGAGGAAAAAAAAAAACAGTGTGCAGGGAAGTAAGAGATGGAATTTTAGGAAAGAAATGATATACTGAACATCCATCCTTTCATGGTCAGTCACTAAAATGTATCTAGCAGCATGTGTCTATTTTTAGCAAGAGTGGAATGGCGTATTGAAATACTAGAGACTGACTTCCTGGCCTATTTGTTATTTGTGAAAATAGTGGAAACTCTGAGTAAATTTTGTTCTAACTGGACTTTATTTTCCGTACAAAGCTAGGAAAGAAGTGAGCACACTGCTAGTTGGAAATGGTGTTTTCAAGCGGTGTCCACCAAGAAAGCCATTGTGTTCTCTCCTGGGTGGGGTAGGAGGGGATAAATGGAGTGGCGGACCGCAGATAGGGCACAGCCCAACTGGAAATAGATGTGTTATAGCCATACAGTAGAATTTTCATAGCAAGAACAATACAAAGACTCGGTGAGTACAAATCTCAAAAGCATAATGTTGAACACAGACAGAAAAATTCAAATCCTGTGCTAATGAGGAATATGGGCTATGGTTACTGTTTGTAATTTATACCTAGGAAAAAGAAAGAAAAGGTCAAGGAAAGGAACTAAAATGGTAGGGGGAAGGATAATACGGTCTACTTACTTCTAACAGCCACTGGTTAGAGGTGACTGGGCATAACAGCCTGTAATCTCAGCATTCAGGGAGGGAGAGACAAGAGCATCTTGAATCTGAAGCCATTCTGAGCTACAGCCCCACAGAAAGTGTTACTTAGTGGTAGAGGGCTTGTCTAGCATCGCATGGGAAAGACCCTAGGTCTGATTAGCAATACCACAAAAGAAGACATAGAATCAAAATAGGGATTGAGTTGAAACGCTGGCAACTGTAGACTTCCTGCCTTCACACCTCCACACCAACAATGGTTTTGAACTCCTGACCTCCCACTATGTCCTGGGGTACAGAAGGACTCCTTCAGGTTGTGATGCCTAGCCCATGTATGTGCCACCAGGAAGGAGAGAGACAACTCAAGTTCCAAAGATGTTATTAAACACCACATGAACAAGTCATGGATGGTTCGGGGCTGCAGGACAAGAAGCCTTGTTTCCCCTGACAGTCCTGAGCAGGGGGCAGAAGCAGGGTTTATAAGCACAAAAACCACAAACATTTGTTGCCAAGTTACAGTTTTCACCAATCAGGATTTAGGGATTGGAGGCTTCCTTGAATTGAATGTTCCATCTTTGCCAACCAAATGCAACACAAGCCTTTCAGTCCAACCAATCAATCCACGTGTTCCTTCTGTGGCTAGGAACAGCTGTAATGTTTCTGAAGAACTAAAGATGCATAACCACTATTTCTTTGGTTTAGGGGGGAAGAGGAGTCAGCCACTGGAAAGTTCTCAGCTCCCCTAGGGCTTGGGAACCTGAACTTTATTTCACCCCACAGGTAAAATGGAGTCTGAAGTCAAAATGTCAGTACTCAGGCCAAGGTTCCCCTCAATGTAACCCTTCTAATGGAAAATACCATTTTTGTTTTTATGAATTTGAACTAAGCTCTTAAAGAGAAGTCATCAAATCCAGAAGAAACTTAAGCTCCTTTGGGGATAAAGAACTTAACTCCCAACATTTTTCGTTTCAGAAACAGGAATGTTAGAAATGCTAAATCAACACACAGGGTAGAAGATTCAGTTTGGTTTGGTTTGGTTTTTGTTTTTTTGTTGTTGTTCTTCCTTCCTTCCTTCCTTCCTTTGTTCCTTCCTTTCTTTCTTTCTTTCTCTCTTTTTCAAACAGGTTTTCTCTGTGTATCCCTGGCTGTCCTGCAACTCACTTTGTAGACCAGGCTAGCATAGAACTCACAGAGATCCGCCTGCCTCTGTCTCCCAAGTGCTGGGATTAAAGGTGTGCACTATCACCGCCTGGCCTCCATCTTGCTTTGTTCTGAAATTATTTTAGTACACTAACTTATTGATTAGTGGGCAAGTGGCAAAACCATGGAGTGTGTGGAGATGAGGAGACAACCTTTGGGACTCAGTTCTCTCCTTCCACTATGTGGACTCTGGAGAGAGAACACAGGCTGGATGGCAAGCACTTTTACCAAGTGATCTCTCTTGTTCCCTGTTCTTTGTTTGGGGGTTTTGTTTTGATTTTTTTATAGTGAGACAAGGTCTCTTGTGGCCCAGGCTGCCCTGGAACTTGCTATGTTCCTGGGACTGTGCTTGATCTGCTGATCTTCCTGCCTCTATCTCCCACAAGCTGGGATTACAGGCATGTGCTACTGCCCCCCTGAAACATCCTGGCCGATGGTGGTGGCGCACACCTTTAGTCCCAGCACCCAGGAGGCAGAGGCAGGCAGATCTCTGAGTTTGAGTCCAGCCTGGTCTACAGAGCTAGTTCTAGGACAGCCAAGACTATACACACAGCCAAGACTACACACACAGCCAAGACTACACACACACACACACACACACACACACACACACACACACACACACACACACACAAAGTGTCCTTCTAGACAAATGAGATATTGGGTAGGTGGGCATGATTTCTCCATCAGGAGCAAAGGTTCCCAGGGAAACAGAACTCTTGCAGTACAGAGGCAGGAAATAGCAAGCAGAAGTTAGCTTTCCCAGCCAAGTCAGTCACAGTGGTCCCCTGTACTTACATGGAGAGTTCTCACTGGGACATTAAACCAAAAAAAAAAAAAAAAAAAAAAAAAAAGCTTTAATCACATGATCTAATAGGAAAATAAACAACACGACACTTTTTCCTGAAAACCAATGTCTCATTTTCAATAAAAGCCTGAAGAATAAAGGAAAGTTTGTGTGTAATAAATGATAGGGAAAAACCAGTGCTTTGAGGGTGTCCATAATTCC